AGAATATAAAATACAGCTTGGGAGACAATGCACCTGCATGGAAATGCGTCCACATGAAGTTCCAGCGATGAGGAATGGCAGCGGAACAGGCGTGCCTCTCGTGAAACAAAGTGTTCAGTGGTCACATTAATAATCAATTAGCCGGAGAGCCACCTGATGCTGCTCATTTGGCTGAGCCCCCGGCGGCCAGCGGCTTTTTGCTCTGGCAGCATCAGCTTTAAAAAATCTGCTCCCTGTTTATCAAGACTAAACTCAGCGAAATCATCTATCCTTTGCCTGTCACCCCATATTTTCCCACTTGCTAATTAAAGATGCAAATGTGGATGAATAAAGTGACGGCTTTGAAGCACAATTGGGTCAATAAGTTGAACATTGTTCCCTGTTTCTCCAATTGAACCCCTATGAGAAATAGCTCAATTACAATTAGAGGAGCAATTACCCCCTTGTTAAAGGTGAAACAAATCACAGGTTTTAGTGAGAAATTCAGTGTCGTTCTTTCTGCCAGGCCCACAAACCTCGTATCCACTGCTGTTTTGACCCCAGTACTCCCCAAAAGAGATAATGCAATAAAATAAAGCATCTCTGAGTGTATTTCTGGCGCACACGTGACAGCAACATTTTCTAGGCATACACTAGAACGAGCGAAGAGGGACCGACTTCGCAGAGCGCCGCTGTCGCGCCGGCGGAATAGCCCAGCGTCCGTCCGGGGCCGGATTACTTTCCGGGCTCCTCGCGGAGATGCGGAGGTTTCCGTTGAAAGGGAAGCCCATGGCTTTCCAGAAATAGAAGAAAAGCATTGTGTTTCTGCCTAGATCCTAGCAAGAGTTATTAAAAATACCAAGCAATGCCACATTTTTAGAATTTCCTTTCCTTTCACTCAGTCTATTCTTTCCATTTTAATACTATTATTATTAACCTGCTCTATAGTCCCCAAAGTACAATAACTCTCGATGGTCTTTTATTTCCGGTTCTAGTGGGTTGGGACCCTCACCCCACACTGAGTTCTCTCATAGGGTTGCATCTTCAGAGGTGACAAACATCGTTTTTCTGGAAAGTTCCATTTTCTGAGTATGCAGCCTGTGTCACATCCATCAGAGACTCTTTATTCCATTTAGTTAAATATCCTTAAGAGTATCTATTTCTACTAAGGAATCTACAGTCAGCTGATGGTAGAGATAAACATAAAAAGCCCTTTTTTGCTCCTATTTTACTGCAATCATATTAGACAGCAGAGAAGTAAATAGACACATTTGCACACAAGTAGTAGTAGTCAGAGCCATATAAAATCGTGGTATAAAAGCGCTGCCATTCAGCCAGTCACACTGGTTGGTCCACACCACGTGCTGAATACCGATCGTTCCATATTAAACTGGCCCCAGGGATCCCTGGGCTTCTGTGCTTCAGCAGCCCAAGAGTTTATACTGTTAGAGCACAAGGCTCTCAGACTCTGCTCTGTGCTAAGGAAGCCCTGTGGTTGTTAAATATTTTGAATAAAGAAAATAGATAAGAAAGGGCTTGGTAAGGAGACCAGAGGAGGAAGCAGCCAGGCCCACGAAACACTTGCATCTCATCCCAGGGCGCCCACCAAGGTAGGTTTTCTTAACTGATGAGTATTAGTCAAAACCGTCACCACCTGGAGAGGTGGTAGAGTGTAGGGAATCGTAGTTTGGCCTCTTTCCTCCTCTGAGGCTTTGTCATTCTCTTTCCTTTGCTCTGAAAAGGAGAACTACCAACTGTACCCCCAGCTCAGATTTCTTCTTTGAGAGAAAATGTGAGGACTGGGCCAATGTCGTGTGATCATGATGACTAAGTGGAGAACAGTAGCTTTAAAAATCAAAGTAAGGACAGCAGCACATTATGACTTGTAGGTATTTGTCATTTATAAATTAGATATTTATGTAACTAAGAGTGTTTCCTTGTTTTAAAGCTCACAATATCTTCATTTGCTGCATTTATGGACTCTAACCAAAGCAACTGGCTAGAGAACACAGGAGGGCATCTTGGTGATTCTTCATAAGCCAAAGGCTTCATTCCTCATACCCTACAGCACCCTGCAGAGGTGCACAGTGCTCAGTGACTATTTTGAACTCAAGAGGTTGAATTCAGTGTTCTGTGAATCAATAGGTGATAATAGAATACCGGTACTAATAATGTTTCTTGAGTGTTTTCTGCATGTTTACATACACTATCTCATTTAAACTTCACAACTATGTTCTAGATAGATGCTATCATCATCTCTTATTTTGTAATTTAGGAAACTTAGGTACAGAGAACTGAAATATCTTGCCCAAAGTCAGAGTTTAAAATGGTAATGCTTGGGTTTAAACCTAGAATTCTATAAGAAAACTAGTTTAACATTCTCTAGGGGAGATGAAAGCCAAAATAGGGGAGAAAATTATTTATTACCTCAGAAATGCCTGTGACATTGTTTGCACCAAATAGGTGCCATTTAACTTAAGATTAGTAGAGTTTTTAGAAACTTACTGACTTGTATGGGAAGAAAGAAAATGACAGCTTCTGATGTTCTGCAAAAAATGTACCTGACTACTTCTCCAGTGGAGCCAGAAATACAAACCAAAGATCAATTGATTTGGTCAACCATGTATTCATTGTGTATTTACTATTCCAGTTATATAGACTCATTTGCCTTGGGTACAAAAGAAGCAGAAATTCTTGCTCCTGTGGTCTGATAGCTTAAGGACAGGTTTTATTTATGGTAAAACATTAAGACCTTTACCTACTGGTTTTCCTTAAAGATCAATATTTCATTGTATGCTATTTTTATGCTTTTAGATTTCTCAAACAAAAAACTAGATTATTAAATAATAAATGCATTTATCATTAAAATAATCTTATGATCTTTTACTTCACCAAGTTACATTCATCCCTATCTTTTTAAATTTATCTGCCACTTTTGAGTAAATGATAGTTGTAATGTGTCACATTAAGACATTAATTAGCTTTCTGATCTTGGTGATTCTAAGGATGTCGAAAGAATCTACACAGAAGTTTATTAGCCTTCTCTCCAGTATATGTGTTTGATCTCTTTTTTTTGACTTACAAAAGAAAGAGAAAAAGAAAAAGAAAATGCATTATTTATAATACTTTGAATGTCAATGGGTATATGATTTTGAGTTTGCCAAGTGTTAATTGGTCTCTTCCAAAGGGATGATACAAATAAAATTCCCAGTCATGAATCTTTACCCCTCAACAAAGTGAACCACTAAAAAATGAGGAAGTTACTAGGATCTTTCATGGAAAGTCTTTGCAGTAATCATCTATCTTTAAGAAACATCAAGTAAAAATGAGGCTATGGATACCCATGTTACCCAGGATATGTTTTGATCTTTAAGGCAGTTTAATGGAGGAGTTTGCATTAGAATTTTAGAAATACAGTTAGAAGACAAATACACTATTGTTATAAGTAAAATGAAATACTGAACAGAGAAGAGTTGCCTCCTTTCTAATCACAATAAGTCATTTTGTATGTCAGTGCTGGAAGATCATTTGGTGTGGCTGGGAAAAAAAACAACTATGATCATGCAGAAATCTCCGAGACGATGCAACGAAGTGCCATGGAATGCCAGTTACAAGGCAAAAATAGATGTCTCATTTCAAAGTAAAAAAATAAATTTTATTAAGAGTGTCACTTTGTGTCTCTTCATTGACATAAGAAGATATGAATGGCTGTGAGAGAAAAATGGACTCATTTTGTAAGGGCACTATCTAAATTTCTAACAAATTTTTTATTATTATTTTAAAAAGAGAAATAAGATGTTTAATTTTGTTGTCAGCTGAGAGCTAAAAAGTAGGATTCATCCTACTTTTGTTTGAACCTTCAGAAGACTGAAAAGCTGGAAATCTAATATTAAGAGTACTGTTAGCTAGTCAATATTTTGGGGCAAGCTCTGAGTCTGAAGTAGTATTATTTTGCAATTTCTTAGGTAGGGATAATTCAGCAGCTTTTTTTTTTTTTTACAAAATATCAACTGACCCACAGATAGGCCTAAATTACAACAGTAGTAGAAGTGCCTCTTTCTATATATACAATAGAGAGGAAAAATTCCAAAGGACTCAATGTAGTTTGGATGCTAACAAGGTCTGCCAACAAATTGGCAGCTATGTCATTTGTTAAATTAAAGTTCTTCTGGGCTTGCAGGATATTGGATCGGCTAGGGCAATGGTGTTTGATGCATATTAGGATGTCTCCCAATAATCATAACAGAGTAACATTTTTACAGTTTGGAATGATTTGTTAACAAATGAAAAACACAGTATTCGATGATTTTCCTCAACAGTATGTTCTCAGACGATGGGAGTGTCTCAAGAAGAGCATGGCACTCTTTTGTGGTCCTGCAGGCCTATCCCCCGTAGATAGGCATTTCCAAAGAACACTGTATTGAATGGTGCTAATGAAAAGTCTTGGTATGAATCTGATTCATAATACTTTGTTACCAATCAATAGGCTTTGTTTTAGTGAAAACAGAAAAGGAAAACAGAGAGTTTGATGGAAAGCTTACAGGATGAAATTAATTGACAGTTGTCATTTTTCAAACATGGTTTTATTCATGGTGTGTGAATATGGCTTTTGGTAGATGTAGAATGCTTGGCTCACTGATGTGAATGCACACACACACTTTTTTTTGCTTATTATAAAAAATGACAATAAAATTGATGATGCATTTTTAAGTCATACTATCTCTCTTTCTGATAAGTTCCAGATAAAATAAAGCAGTATTTCTGAGTTCTTGAAAGAGAATGGCAAAATCAAACCAAGCTAACTGTGGCTTTGTCCAGTGGGGCATTCTAATTGACTCACAAGTCATTAATCAGTTCCCAATCAATCTATTTTGCCAGCAGCAGGCAGTTAGGACTCCATTACCAACCATTCATCATGCCATACCCTAATTCGCTGCACCATTAGCCATGGCTTAGGCCTCTGTTAGAATAACTAAGTGCCAGTTGCTAAATGCAAAGAATTTTTTTTTTTTTTAACTCACCTCAGCCACTGGAATCCCTTCAGGTGGTCGACACTGGAGCAAGACTTCCTGTTCCAGGGATACTTCCTTTCCCAGGGGTTCCTGCTCAAATGTCTTCCGCAGATCTGGAGAGCACAGGAAATAAAATGCATGACAAAAGTAACTTACATTTATTCATTTATAGAAAGTACAATAAAAGTTTTCCAGTTCAGTATTTTATGTGTCTTTGCATTTTTTTTAAGTCACATGTTGTTAGGACTATACCAAGATCTGGGTGATTTTATTCTGTGTGGTGGAAACTTTGAAATTCGGGGGCTATTAACTATTCCAACTTTAATATTCACTGGAATGCTCACATTAACAGTTAGTGAAAATAATTCCTTGCATTTCCTTATTGATTCTTGATAATCAATGATGATGATCACATTTTAATCAAAGGAACCCCATTGTCATGATTCTTATATACACAGAGTTTCTTATGTACATAAATACTTAGCTCTCTCTTCATAATGAACACTGTTAAGAGTTGTCATAACTCTGAGATATTTTGGTCAATAACTCAAAAGCAAGTTTCCAGTTCAGAGTGTAGAACAGAATGCTGGAGTCCTGAAATAATGAGTATAACCTCTTAAGGGTCTCAAACACAAGGCAGGGGGAAGAGTAACTATTGGAATGAGTCCAGAAATCTCTCACTATGTAATTATGTGGCTATTCTTCAATTAGAAAATTAAATAGTCATTTCTGCCCACATACACCAAGTACCTAATTACATGTTTATATAATTAGAGTAGCCATAGCAATATGGAGACTTTTAAAATTTATTATAGATTGACACAAAAATGTTAGAAACTAGCTTGTCATTTTAAATACCAAAGTTAGAAAAGTAAACGATTCAGCCATAGAGCTTTGAAGCAGCATTTTGTTTTAAAAAGCACAGCAAAAATTTTATTTCATACTTGTACAATTCAGCTCCTTTCAACAGTTATTGGAATTTTATCCACTTGATTTTAATAAAAAATTAATGTCTCTGTCCTTTTAACTCATATCCCTTATATAAAACTTAAGAACCTTAAAGCACCATTTTAGCCTATTGAAATAATAAGTGGAAACACCAAAGCTCTGCAGGTATATAACTCTAATGTCTTTTAAGGAACTATCAGGGAGCACCACCTAGAAAAAAATGCACTGAGAAAATAATCCATTGTTATGTTCTTGATATTTTGTTGAATTTCTTGACAAAAGAAAACCTTCAAGAGCTTAGGAATTGTGAGAAAATTTTGGCTCTATGTGGGTCTGAGGTAAGACAAGTCACTCTGCAGATGGTGACAGGATTTCTGTCAGAAGGGGTCTTTTCATTAATTATCAAGAAATTGGGCATATTATAAAAATGAACATTTAAAATCCACAGTGATTAAACTTGAAAGTTATCTCAATCATGTTCTTAATTTATATAGATGGGGCATGTTCATCAAATTATTCAAAGCCTCACAGCAAAATAATAGATGTTGCATTAGAACTTGATGACCCCTGATTTGATACACATTTTGGCAACCCACATGTCCCTTTAATGTTTCTTTTGGTTAAGCTGTGCCCTCCCTACAGACACGTTAAAAATTTTCCTACTTTTTCTCTTCTGATATGGTTGTTCCTCTGTTTTCAACTAGCATTAAGATGGAAAATTTGGTAAAACACTAAATACTAATAAAAATAAGAGCAGCAATGAATACATTTTATGGGATAAAATGTTCCTCACAAAATACATGTACTTTAAAAAAATAATTCTGAACACACCTATTTGATGTGGGGTAAGGTAAAGGCATAATGACTAGAATTAGTTCTCAGATCAAATAACATTTTGACTCACTTCTGATAAAATTCATCAGCATACCATAAATGAAGGCTGAGAATGAGAGAACATGAGGCACAGATTATCCAAATAGTCAAAACAAATTCCTTTGATATTTGTTAATTATCTTCTTAAGGCAGACTAACTTTACTATATACTTAGTATGGAAATGTGAAAGATACAGAATGAAGATGAGAAAGGTAAGTTGAGATGTATTTATGACCAGCCTTTGTGCCATGCTAAGGAATGGCAAACCTCAAAGGCTTCTAAGCAAAGGCAGATCAGATATCATATTGCCCTCAGTATGACAGATGGGTTGAGACAGAAGGGACTTTGGGAACCATTTGAATAGATCAAAAGGGATGATTGTATCCTGAAATCTGCTAGTGATAGTGGACAGAAAGAGGGGAAAACAAATTCTAGAAATAAATAGATCACATATTCAGGAAGATCTATATTTGGAAAGTGCCAGGAGGCAAAGATAAGACTATATTCTTAGCTATCACAATTGTTAAGTGGGAACCAGTGTTAAATGAAATAAAAGTAATGAATTGAGCAGAAAAGTGGGAAGAAAGGGCAAATTTATTTTGTTCCTTATTCAGTTTGGTATGTCTGTAGGATATGCAAACAGAAAAGCCCAGTATGCCTAGATCATGATTCTCAGCCTCAGCCATCCTGACACTTGGGACTTGATAATTCTCTGTTGACGGGTTGTGCTGTGCATAGTGAGATGCTTAGCAGGATCCCTGGAATCTACTCATTAGAAGCAAGTTGCACCTCTCCCAGCGGCGATGAGATAAATGCTTCTGGACAATGCCACATGTCCCTGGGGAAGAAAAATAACCGCAACTTGGGAATCACTGGTCTAGAGCTTAGAAAAGAAGTCTGGGTAGAAGATTTGTGCTTTGTTGTCCGGGGGGCAGCCGAAGTGCTGGAAATAGGTGACATCACCAAGGGAAAGACTGAAGCATAAAAAAATGAGGACACTAGCATTCAAGAGAAAAAGCTGCCAGCAAATTTGACATGGTGTGAACCATGAAGTATGCAAAAAAAAAAAAAAAAAAGTAAAGACAAATGTCAGAGGAGCCAAGAGAACAGAGTTTTAAGAAGCTGGGAGGCCAACAGGATAAACACAATGGAAGAATCAAGGGGAGAAGTTACTGGTTTGGGAAATCTAGGAGTAAGCAGGAGTAGAACCCAAGCTTCGATGAGGGATGCACAGGAACTGGGAAAATAACCATCCTGAGAACCTGCTGCTCTTATGCAAAACTTTCTGGTGACAAAAATCAGCAGCACCATTAATGGGTGGTGGGTTTGAATGAGGCATGGTATAATTCTTCATAGAATATGATGTCGTTTTTGGCATAGTTTTCACATTCCTGCCCTGTGAAGGCACCTCTTATGAGGATCATTTCTTCCAAATTGAGAATGGTGACCACCCAGCAGAGGCATGAACTTCAAGAGACAGGTTTAACTGAACCATCTTGGAATACCACCTAATTATTTTGTTTTAATGGTCTGGCTTTGAACTGCCTGTACATTTTATCTAATTTCTAAAAGTATCTCACATTTAACCCTCCACAAAGCAATGCTTCTTTCTGAGAAATCCTTTTAAGTTCTGCTGTGAAACCTCTTTTCTAGCTTTTCTAGCTTTCCAGTGTAATGGGCATAGAAAACATTGTGTCTTTCCAGCCCAGCAGCTGCTCATTTCAAGATGCCTCCACCTTACCCTGCAAGCAGAGCTGGGTAACCTTGTAAGCATACCCTTTACTATTTGGACAGATGTGATAGAAGGCAGGCCAGGTGCCTTGCAGGCAGAGAGAACACACGGCTGATGAAATGAATAAGCATGAAAAGGGACACTTGTCAGCTCGGAATTGGACGTAAAACAGAATGGTTCAGAATAATGTGGGCATTCCATCAGGAAAAATTATGAATTTCGGCCCTTAAAAGACCTTTAGGATTCTAGATTTCTGTTTCCTTTCCATTAGTTCTAAGACTGCTACCAAAATAAGTACAAAGTCCTTTCATTATAACCTCAGTTACTTTTCAAAAGTCAACTTGGCCTACCTCTGATTTAGTCATTGATTCCATCAATTAAAAGAAAAATCAGCTTTGTCACATGTGTGTATTCAGAGAGCTGTTTACTTAGCAACATGAATATTGGCTTACTAAATCCATAAAGAGAAATCCAATTAGCAAATGTAGAATTAGACCTGAAACTCTATGGATTTCTATTTACCATTTACACAGTAATCAAACAAAGGCTTTTAGAATATAAACACATGTGTGGGTACAAACGGTGTCTCATTCTTTATCAGAGAATTTTGATGCATTCAATAATTTTTTTGTACAATAATAATACCTCAGTTACAATTTTTTTATGATGTGGAATGCCTTAATTTATGGCATTCTACAAATATAACTTCTGCTTTTTGACAGTGTGGTAAAGAGGAAAGAAGGTTAGGTAGGAGTTCAAAGTCTCTGTGGCCTTCACATTCCTCATCTATAAAATGAAAGTGAAGGTCCGGATACTTTTGAAGGTCTCCTTTGTCATAATCACCTATGACTGAATAGACTAACATTTTAAATGTGTATTTTAGAAGAAAAAAAGCATCTCCTTTGTCAAATAAGGCACTTCTCGGTTGTGATAAATTTTTAAGGAACCATATCAATTATCAGTGCCCAAGAGAAATAATGAGAGAAATTATGTTTTAATAATCTAAGAGTTGGTGCATCTTTGCTAATAATTTTTATCTCAGGAAAATTTTCATAGAACTTTTAGACAAAAAATAGATAGGTATGGATAAGAGTTTGAAAATGGGAGAAGGGTGGGTTACTGAAGATTCAGTATTAAAAATGTCAGAAAATTATTAATACAAATCCAAGGAAGCATCACGAAAGCAGATGAATATTAAAGCTAGAATGATTGTGAATGTATTTGGAAGTACTTTGAAAAAATGACTTTCCTGTGTCCCTGGAGAGATGGGAAAGGAAATGACTACCCAAAACAGTATGCAGACATCCCTCAGGCAGCTATGCCTGACACCTTATAAAAGGGTGAGTGTGACCTATGATAGGAAAGTCCGAGGGTAGGCAGGCCACAGCTTTGAATATAATGGGTCACACTACCACCCAAGCACCTGTGAGTCCTACTGATTTTGGATGGAAACTAGGAGAAATATCAACAAAAAGATCTCCGTATGGTGCAGGCAGGTTACTGATGCTATTGTCTTTGGAAAGGATAATAAACATGTTCATACTCCAAGTTGTTAAAAA